GATCTTTCTACATAAGAAAAGCCTAACAAGGGACAGGGATTGCAAATTAGCCTCAGATAGAAATTCTGTTTATCATATTCTTGCAACCTGTTACAATGTTTCTCTGTATTGTCCCTGTTATATAATAATAAATAAACTTCAAGACTTTGCTCATACAACTGAATATTGTGACCGAGATCACAAGATTTTTTACTTACATCATCGACATATATGGATTTTTTCACAATGCCCAAATCCAGTTTGGCCCTGTATGAAAGAGTGTAAGGCAGAATTACTAAAAGACAAATGTTCTTCTGAAAATAAAATGATCATTGCACACATTATTTGATTGTTAGAATAGTAAACTTTTTCCCAGTGAAAAGTGGCAGATGAAATGTGGCAATGTCAGATTCAACATCGGCACACAGAAGACATGATATGTACCTGCCCAGGAAATCATCCTGGTCTGGGTCTTTGTCATATACCTCCACCTCCAACTCTTGACCAGGCACCTCATGGACAATAACCTGATGCACCAGACACACATAAGGACATGAAGACGGACAAATCGGTCTGTATGGATGCTGGCTATGGCCTCATGAATGTAAATGAACAGTCTCAACACTCAAATACAGAACAAAGTGAAATGACACATGACATCCATGAAAAACTAAGAATATTTCCACCCCTGTGTGTGCAGAATAATAACAACACAGATTCCAGTCAATTCAAATTAAAACACTTTATTGTCCTTACCTCATACATTTCCTCCCACTTGGGAGAGTCTGTGTTGTCAATGTGCTGGGATGTAAAGGTCTGAGGGCCGACCCTCAATATGGCATAAGGGTCAGACAAGCCGGCCATGACCCCTTTCACGTAGTTGTCCTTTGCAGCTAGTTTCTGTGCCTCCACCAAGTGGATGCGTACCACACCCTGAGAAAGAAAAAGAGGGTGTAAAGTACAATATATTGGTGTTTGCTGAAATGTGAAATAATATCTCTATCTGCAGGTGCATGTTCAGGCTCTTTACCCTTGGCAAAGGAGAGCGTAGTTGGGCCACGTGCAGGCCAGGAACCAAGGGGACAACCAGGCGGTTTGGCAAAACCAAGAAGGAGGCAATGGCATCCATAATCATGCTGTCTGACATGACACTGAGACCAAGGAGGAGGTAATGTCAATGAAAACATACTGCTGCCCTGCCTGCATAATTCATTCATCCCTGTATAATAACATCCACAGGGTTATCCTCTTTATAA